TCCAGTGAAATATATTTATGTTTGTGGTTGTAATGTGACAAAATATGGAAAAGTTCAAGGGGTATGAATACTTTTGCAAACCACTGTATGTGCAAGTTTGTTTTTTGAAATACACCTTATTGTTTCTACATTGTATCATTTTGTCTGTTGTTCTTTGTTGTTTAATAAAAAAAAAACATTCAATGCCACCATGTTTGTAATGACTTAATCGCGAGAGCAAACCTATTCACGCGTGACTTTAATAGCATTTCTTACGTAATGGAAACACCGCAAAACTGTGTTTTTTGACATTAACAGAATATTGACAAAGTTTTGCGCACATTTGCAATGGAAATGCAGCTACAGATTGAAAGCTACAGTTTGAGCAATAAAGCTGAAAATTAATCAGAGCAGTTAATTTATTTCATAAAACAAATCTACGTTTACAAATCTTCCAGTTTCCTCTTTAAGAATAGTTCAACATTTTCAAGCTGCAACATATATAACAAGCAAGTGACGCAGTGACCTTTGACGGTGTGAAGGCTATTTATGAGCAGTCAGACCCTAAATGAAGGTTTTATATTCCTTATTAAATCTAGATAGGAACATCAGCTATAAGAATATAAAATAAAGTAAGGTCTCAGGACACTGTAAAGTTTAATTTTAAGTGTCAAAGTGCACATATCCCTTTAGTTGTTGTCGAAATGATGTGGGGAAAAAATGTTTTGTTTTTTCAAACAAAAAACAAAACTATTTTGGTTCTAAATAAATGTAAAAGCAACGACTGGCGGCTACAGAAAACTAGTACAAAGCCACAGGCAAAAAGGAAATATTTCTTATATAATTAGCTAAATGATAACAAATTGCTCTCACCTGGGACCAAACAGCAGCACAGAAATATGGAAAGAACAAGAAAAGTCGTCCTCATCGTGTCAACAAACCAGACCCAATAAAACAAAACTAATCTGTCGCTGCTCTCAACTCAACCCGAAATCCGCGTTGACAAATACAGCTCGACAGGTTGGAGCTTTTAACAGATCCTGTTCTACTTCCGTGTTCGAGCGACTCGACCAATGAGCTGCAGCTCGCAGTACCCGATCGAAACGCCCCCAATTGACACGCCTCCTGATGACGCGAGGGAAAAACCGTGCCCGTGTTGTGCGAATTTCAGTTCCCCTGTGAAAATCTGTTCCCCCTAGTGGTTAACCTCAGAGAGAATCACTGGTCCAGGCATAACGTCAGACCAATCCTATGAGGGAGGCGCTTCCAACACAGGGGAAACAGATTTTCACAGGGGTACTGAATTTTGTAAAACACCGGGAACTGAGAAATGGTAGTGACGTCATTTCCTAACAAACCATATGAAACTGCATTCCAGCTAACGAAGTTTAGCTTCCGATTCGGGAAATGACTAAAGGGCGATTACAACTAAATTCTCACAACCTTGACAGTATTTAATCTGCTCTAGCTCAAAAAATACAACACCTAGAATATTCAAACCTGGACTAGATTTTTCTGCATATCAGATTATCTAAAACCAGTTGTGTGTTTGTGAAACCTTCATTTGATTTGTGAAAATCTAATTAAATATAATTTGTGTGTGTAAGCTTTTGTTGCAGTGACACTCTGTCCTTCTGGCTAAATATTGCATTAGCATAAAAAATGCAACTTCAAAAGTCTTAAAAATACATTAGTCAACAATTATTGCACTCCAAGCAGTCCTTTACGATATGAATGTTGCACACACTGATACTGCAATGACAACATGTTTGTGATATATTGTGCTGTCCTTGCTCTTTGTAGTGATACAGAATAGAGCAGATAACATTGAAACAGAAGCACGGATACAGGAGAATTTTTTGAAAATCAAAAACTTAATACCAAGGAAAGAAGAACATTAAGATATTGGCAGCATTATATCAGATGATGCCCCCAACCAGGAAGGTATCAAAGCTGAACAGAATACAAAACCACATCTAGCTGTAATGAAGATGAAAAAAAGTGTTAGCAAACAGTAAGTTAAAAGTTTAAATGATACCAAATAATGCTAAATTGAAAGAAGGATGAGTTCAATTTTAGTGTTCCACCAACCAAATTGCATCAATAAGGCAATTTATTTAAGTTTCACAAATAAAAAAAAAGTTTCACAAATCCCAAAGTTGTTTTTTAATAGAATTGTATTAGTGCAGAATATTCTGGTTCTGGTTTGAAAAGTCTAGGTGTTCGATTTTTGGGGCTGGACCAGTACAAGTGTGGTCCAAAAGCTTTCAAAATCGCAACTTTATTGGCGTTTCACAAATCAGATTAAGAATCTCGTCCAGGTGAAAAAATGAAATGTTTAACATACTTAACCATGTTATTTCAGCTGGTTCCACTTAACTGAGTTGAGTAAATTCAAAGCAACATGGTCATGTTCTTTGGTTAAAAAAACTGGTATATTGCTTTGAATTTACTCAACTCAGTTAAGTGGAATCGGTTGACATAATGTGGTTAAGTGAATCCAACATTTCATTTTTAGGTGTTGCAGCTTTTGAGCTGGACCAGGTCTAGTGTGGTCCAATTGCCTAAAAACATGATGAAATCGAACTGTATTGAAGTTTCACAAATGAGAAAAAGATTTCACAAATATCCAACTTAATTTTAAATATTCTGCTATTACTGTTGAATAATCCAGTCCAGGTTTGAAGAGTCCTGGTGTTGTAGTTTTTTAACTGGACCAGGACTAGTGTGGTCCAGTTGCATGAAAAATGATGAAAATTGACTTTGTTAAACATGCGCACTCGAACACTTATTTGCACGTCGACTGAATCCACACCAGAGGGGCGTATAGGGTGCGCACTGGGGACTGGGCCTTCTGCTGTAGAAAAGCCTGGAGGTGGAGTCTTCTGCCCCCTAACGGCGGAGAGACTGAATTACAACATCGAGAAACTGCTGCTTCAGCTGAGTTATTTATTTAGTGACGTCATTACATTACAGCTATAAACAATAAAAAAAATAAATGGACATAGTCATTTAGTCATGCTTATGTAATTAAAGTGTTTGTAATTTATTTAAACATTTTCAATCATTTATTTCTCCCAAGTTCAGCTGTTTTTTTTAGCTGATTGCAAAAGTGTCTTGATTGTAAAAAAAATATTGCAAAAAAACTTTGTGTTTTTTGCCTAAGAATGAGCTCTTGGCTCATTCATCACAAACAAGTCCATCCATCCATTCTCATTTCCCTCATCTCCTTTGGTGCCTGGCCTCCAGCAGTCACTGTGTGAGAGACAGTACACTCTGGACAGGTCACAGGTCACAGGGCTGCAGTCTCACTCAAACCTACAGACTATTTAGAGTTACCAATTAGAAAACTGGCATACTGGGAGATAACCTAAGAATGGGGTACGGAGAAAACATGCAAACGCCACCAAGAAAGGGAATGAACCCAGTCCAGAAGCTCTAACCACTGCTCCATTGAGCTGACAGGAACAACGCTAAGACAGAAGTCTAACACGCCTTTGTTTGTAGACAGAATGAGAGCAGGCCAAAATAATTTTGTAATTGAGAATATGCCGATAGTTTCATCTGCAAAAAAGCTAAAGTATAACATCCAAAATAGCACAATGTTGTAACACAAAATCAATCAATCAATAACCTTTATTTAACCAGGCAGAAAACCCATTGAGATCAGGATCTCTTTTACAAGGGTGACCTGGTCAAAAGGTCCGCATGACAAAAGAAGAAAACTATGAGTAAAATACTTTCCATTTGTTTGAGTTCACAAATGTTAGGTTAGTGCCTCATGGCTCATGGAGACTTCCTTCATGTTTACACAACACTTCAGTAACTTTGGGTGTGTGAACTCTTCTAATAAAACATGTTAAAGCAAATAAACCTTTGGACAAGTTCTGATATCAAGATTAGTTATTAAACACTTGATATGGGATGGTTGATATTTAATTATTTTTGATCAAATTTTCTGGTGAAGACAAACAGCCTTCTGTAAATGGGTTATTAATATTTATTTATTTATTTATTTATTTATTTATTTATTTATTTATTTATTGACATAACCCATCTTTACAGAAAAGTCTACTTAAAAT